AGGACAGCACTGTACTGACCAGCTCACAGTGACTAGCCCTAATGCCTTCCAGTGACCTGGAGGCCACAGCTTGTGAAAATCCTGTAAATTCTCACTATCCCCAGCCACTTGGAACTAACTACAGCCCCATGATCTGGGAATTACAGCCAAAGTAAGCCCCACCCCCTTGATGAAAATCTTGTGCCAACCTTGCCTTGGAGAGCCATGGGCCATGAGAATGACCTTCCTGACTCCATGGCTCCAGGTCAGCTAGGCTGCCCTTCCCCATGATTTTGGTGCTCTCCAGACTACCAGGCCTTCCCACCTGGCTCCCTGCCCTTCCACTTACCCACGGGGTGAGCCCCAGCCAGGTGGGGCCAGCCGGCTGAGATCACCACTCCTGACAGCAGCCATGTTGTCTCTGCCAATGGCTCATTCTCTGACTTGGCAGGAATTCCCCTTCTCGAGTTCCCTGTGGATGCCCAGGCCATGCCATCCAGTGTGTATTCTCAGTTTATCTCCTTCCAGTCCTGTTTTCCCCCAACTCTCCAACCCCTACTTGGTCCTCTCAGGCCTCAGAACTTGGGTCCTCCAGGAGAAAAGGGGCCTCCTGACTGCCCATAGCCTGTGTAGGGCCACCTCCTCACTTCTGCACTTAACCTGCCTTATCACCTTGGCAACTTTTTCAGCCCTCTTTTAAGCAGTACTTGACAGCCTATGTTCTTTAGATCACCCCAAGTCCTTTGGAGACAAAATGGCTGATTGCTTCCCTCCTCCCTTAACCCCTTAGCCTAAAAAAATTCTATTCAAACCTGTGACCAGAACAAAATACCACAGTGCCACAGTTTCTGTGGCCATGGCCCTTACTTTCCACCATAAACGCCATAAACCAGACTTTCAGAATGAGAAGCATATTCAAAAGCCAAGAGAGAAATTATAGCTTAAAAGGAACTCTCCCACCTGTAAAGCCCCCTATAAATTTCTATCTAGCCAGAAATCATGCCTCTGTTAATATGTTCAATAACTCCAGGTTTACCTCTATTAGGTTTACATGATGAGACCCTAGCTAGATCCAATGACAGACAGAAAGCTCTAAGTCCCAGGTTGTGGCTGGGCATCATAAGCAGTGTTTGTTGGAAAAAGATTGTTGAGTAGCTACAAATTAGAAGAATTCCTTAGGATAACTCCCTCCCCAGGTGACAGTCTGTTGTCCCGGCCCACATCGAGGGGTAATGGGGGTGGGGGTAGGGGTGTGCCTAAGCAAAGCACAGGTATTCAGATGAACTTAGGAGCAACTTCCCAGACCATGACTTTCGTCTGCTGGGCCACCTTCCTTCCTTCCTCCCTTAGTTGAGCTCTTGGGAAATCACTTGCCCCCGCATCACACCCTGCTCTCATTTAAATGGAGAGTTACACCTTTCCCCTCCAGGCCTTTGCTGGGACAAGCCCTGGAACCATGAGAGCATCTACAAAACTTCAGAGGACCACTGGCTTTCACTTCTTGGAAGGCTGGACAGCAGCTCATGGGCCTGTCTGGAGGTAGATGACAGCCCTGACGAGGTAGGATGTAGGAGGTGCCATGTGCAGGGCTAGTTTTTGAAGGGAGGACAGGTTCAGTGCTCTCTTGAATGGTGGAAGATTTGGGGGGTGGGGTAGGGGTAGGGACCAAATCCTGTGATTCATTTGCAAAAAATAAGGCAGAAGTGGTTTCAGGCTGAGTTCAACAATTGAGGGCAAGCCCCCTGGAGTCTCTAATCCCACTGGTCCCTAGCCTCTGTCTGGAAGCCAGGGCTCAGGCTGGAAAAGTCTCTGAGATGAGGGTATAGGGCAGGCTCCTGCTCTAGGGCACCTATGACAGGCAGTGCAGCATCCAGAGTTTGGGGGCCACTGTCCAATGGAGACAGAGTTAACCCTTCAACCCCCATCATCTGCTGACCCAATACCCATCTTGCGTGGTGGTCAGCATTACTGTGCAGTGGCCTTACTGTGCCTCACTGACTTGTGGAGAGGCCAAATGACACTCCAAAGGTGCCTCCCCTCATGGCCCGAAGGACAAACAAGTAGGCCTAAAGAAGCTTTGACCTAAGAGACTGCTGTTAGGGGGCAGGGATTGGGATTGGGGGGGTGTAAATAAATGCCAACACATGGACACCTTCTGTGAGTCCTTGGGTGGGATAAGGAAGCGGTCCCCAACTTTTTTGGCACCAGGGACTGGTGCTTCTATGAGAATCTAATGCCTGATGATCTGAGGTGGAGCTGAGGCGGTGATGCTAGCTAGCGCTTGGGAGCAGCTACAAATACAGATGAAGCTTCTTTCACTCTCCTGCTGCTCACTTCCTGCTGTGTGTCCAGTTCCTAACAGGCCATGGACCAGTACCGGTCCATGGCCCAGAGGTTGGGCTAGGGGACAGAGACGCAAAAAGCCATCAAGCTGGGTGTTCCCTCCTCATATAGAGAGGAGGCTCAGGTGAGTGGAGGGGGCTCCAGTGACATTGCATGGGGTGCTATGTATTGTACAAGATGAATAGCACCCCCTGGAGTTGTGGGGGGTGGTGGCAAGAAGGACAGACCCAGGAAAGTTGGGAAGGGGTGTTTGAAT